GTTTGGTGGAACTTGCCAGCAAAACTATAACATGCCTGGATATTTCATTTCAGAAGATGCTTAACTATGAATTCAATTTCTGTAATAGTTACAAGGCTATTCAGATTAGTTATTTCAATTAGGATGAATTTCAGTAGTTTGTGGTTTTCAAAGAATTGATCCATTTTATTTAAATTATCAAATGTATATGTGTAGAGTTGTTTGTGGTTGTAATGTCTACAGAGTCTGTAATGATATCCTACCTTTCATTTCTAATATTGGTAATTTATGTCTTTCTCCCCCCTCCTCCTCTCTCTTTCTGCCAAGCTTGCAAGAGAGATCTCAACTTGTTGAGTTCAGTTCTGGCATAATCAATTTTCTCTATGGTTTTCTGCCTTCTTTTTTCTGTTTTCATCTGTTGGATTTCAACGATTTCTGCTCTTATCTTTACAATTTCCTCCCTTCTGCTTGGTTTGTATTAATTCTGCTCCTCTTTTTCTAGTTTCTTAAGTTGGAAACTTAGATTGTTGACATAAGACTTTTTAACATAAGCAATGAATGCTATAAAGTTCCCTCTCGGTACTGCTTCTCAGCAACCCAGAAATTTTGATATGTTCTGATTTCATTTTCATTCAGTTCAATATATTTTATAATTTCCTTTAAAACGTCCTCTTTGAGGGGTGCCTGGGTGTCTCAGTTGGTTAAGCGTCTGCCTTAGGCTCAGGTCATTATCCCAGGGTCCTGGTATAGAGCCCCACATTGGGCTCTTTGCTCGGCAGGAAGCCTGCTCCTCCCTCTCCTCCCCACTGTGCTCTCTCACTGTCTCTTCTTCTCTCTCTCTCAAATGAATAAACAAAATCTTTAAAAAAAAAAAAAAAACTTCTCCTTTGATCCATGGTGTTCGGATAGTTTCCCATTACCTTTTGGTTGTTCATTTCTATTTTAATTACATCAAAGTCCAAGAATGTACTATGCATGATTTAAATTCTTTTACCTCTTATGATCTATCTTGAGGAATATTCCTTGTGCAATTGGAAAGAAGGGTGTATGCTGCTGTTGTTAGGTGAAGTATTTTATAAATATCAATTAGATCAAGTTGGTTTCAGATAGTGTTCAGTCCTACATACTTGAAAATTTTTCTCTCTACTTACTTTATCAATTGCAGACAAATGAGTTTTTAAGTCTCTAATTATAATTATAGAAGTATCTATTTTTCCTTTCAGTTCTGATGGTTGTTGCTTTACATATTGTAAAGCTCAATTCTTCAGTCATGCATATTTAGGATTTTTATACCTTCTTGGAAAATTGACACTTTTTCAATATATATAGTCCTTCTTTATTCCTGGTAATTTTCTTTGCTCTGAAGTCTATTTTAATATAAATATAGCCACTCTAGTTTTCTTTTGATTAGTGTTTTCCAGGGTATATGTATTTCCATCCTTATACTCTTAGCATACCTATATAATTATATTAAAGTGAGTTTCTTGTAGACGTCATACAGTAAAATAGTGCTTTTCAATCCATTCTGACAATCTCTGTATTTTAGTTGGAGTGTTTAGACCATTTATAATTAATACAAGTATTTATATGTTTATATTTAATATTTCCATTTTATTATTTTGTTTTCTGTTTGTTTCCTCAATTTTTCTTTTTCTCTATTTCCCACTTCCTACCTGCTTTTAGATTATATAAACATTTTTTAGTACTCTATTTTAATTTATCTAATGTGTTTTCAAATATCTCTTTGTATATTTTTAATGGTTTCTCTAGGGATTACAATATCCATACTTAACTTTGAACAGTTTACTTAAAATCAATATTTTATCATTTCGTGTGGAATGTAGGAAATTCATTACCATATAAATCCTTTCACCCTCTCCTTTTTAGAATGCTGTTGACTTATTTTTATGTGTCCTTCCCTTGAATATCCCATCAGACAATATTATAATTTTTGCTTTAAACCAACAAACATTTCAAATAACCCAACAGGAGAAGGATGGTCTGTAATATTTACCTGGGTATTTCCCATTTCTGTTCTCTTTCCTTTATTCCTGATGTTCCAGATTTCCTTTTGCTGTCATTTGCTATCCTTCTATCTATAGAAATTCCCTTTAGCAATTCTTTTAGAGCAGGGCTACTGGGAATGACTTCTCTTAGCTTTCCTTTATCCAAGCATGTCTTTATTTCATCTTAATTGCTGAAGGATATTTTCACTGAATATAGAATTTCCTTTTTACTTCAGCATTTAAAAATATTGTGTCCCTTCCTTCTGAACCCCATGGTTTACAGTGAGAAATCTGTTGCCATTTGAGTCATTGTTTACTTCTAGGTAATGCATCAATTTTCTCCAGCTGCTTTCAATTTTTTTTCTGCTTTTTGTTTTCATCCATTTTATTATAATGCACCCAAGAATAGATTTCTTTGGGTTTATCCTGTTTAGGGTTTACTACACTTTTTAAATATATAGATTTGTTTCTTTTGTCAACTTTGGGACATTTTTAGTCACATTGCTTCAAATATTTTATCAGCACTGCACTTCCTCTTCTTCTTGAACTCTAAAAACACAAATGTTAGACTTTTTGGTATTGTCTGCCTATACTGTTCAGATTGGATGATTTCTATTGATCTATCTTCAAGTTCATTGACTTTCTCCTCTCTCATATTCATTCTGCTATGAATGCCTCCTTTTAATTTTTAATTTTGTTTTTGTACTTCTCAATTCTAAATTTTCATTTGTTCTTCTTTTTACCTTATACTTTTCTCTGAGACTTCTATCCCTCTATTCGTTTTAGCAGTGTTTGCATTCATTCTTGAAACATTTTTACAATAGCTGCATTAAAGTTTTGTTAGAGAATCCCAACATCTGTATCACCACAATGTAGGGGCCTTTTGACTGTTCTTTCTTATGAAAATTATGATTATGATTTTTTTTTTGTATCCTGAGGAATTTCAGATTGGGTAGATACCCAGGAGTGGAATACACAATAAAAACACAATTTGAAAACAAATCTTTTTCTTATAAAAATTAATACATACTCATTATAAAAGAAATGTTTTTAAAAACTAATAAACAAAAGGGAAAAAAATCACCTATCACCTAACTAACTTAGAGGTGATGATTTTCCTCTGTTTATATATAACCTCTGTCTCTCTCAGAATGCTTCTGAAGTTTAATTTTCATGTAATTTGATTTTCTAAGGTCAAATTTACTCTTTACTTCCTCAAATACAGATTCTAATTCTCTGATTGCAATAATCACTTCCTTTTAATCATCCTTTTCCTCACTCAGATCCCTCCTCACTTCATTTTGTTGCCTTTACATCTTATCCTTTTGACTTTTGAATTTATACCGTCACATTATTTCTTATTCTATTAGCTTTCATATTAGTTTTTCCTCTCCCAGAGAGGCCATGTTCTTCTGACATTATTGAGGTTTCAAAAAAAAAAAAATTCCTAAAATGTTCTTTTGGATCCAGTGGTAAATAATTTTCCAACAACTGTGTTTCCTCTGAGTTTTGAATGCTATCTAGTTTGCGATAATTTTCACAGGCCCTGTGTTGTTTTCACTTTACACTTTTTTTCCCCCACTCAAAATATAATGGATTTTCTGGAATTGGTGCTTTTCCATTTCCTGATAGAGCACAGTTAATAGTATATAGCTTCTAAGCTATTCCCAGCATCTATTAGAACTTCATAAACTTAGATATATAGATTAATTATTAGACGTGGGGGCGAGGGCTATATCAGTTACGGTGCTTTGGTTGCAAATAATACAAAGCCTAACTTAAATTAACTTAAACAATAATTGGAAATTTCAGAGATGGGGCAGGTTTCAGAAGTAGTAGGATCACAGTTCTAGACCCATTTTCTGTCTTCTCTCCAGCACTTCCCACCCCTCTGTATCCACTTTATCTTCAGCAGGATTTTGTTTGTGGCTTTGAAAGTTTTATGCATTTCACTCTACCAAAAAGCTCAACTATAAAGCTAAAGTCGAAGGCTGCACTCATTTTGCATCAACTTAAGTTATATACTTATGCCCTAGGCTACTTAGGGGCTGTCATGAGACTCTCCGAGATTTCATCCTTCACATGGTGTTAAGTGCGCTCTGCAACCCACCAAATCTACATACATAACGAGAAATATCTCTATAGAGGAAGAGAGGTTGGACATTGAATATCACCCCTTTTCTCTCCCACAATTCTCCCTACAAGGAAGTTATTCACACCTGAAACTCCAGTACTCTGAGCCAATGAAATACATGTTCTTCCAGCCATTGCTCTCATATTCAGCATCTTATTTGGGGAAAATAATCTCTAAGAATGCAATAGTGGATTATAATGCATCAGGCAGGCAGAGACCCTTGGTTTCATGTCATATATCATGGATATGACTCTAATTGTTTTCCTTGATGCAACTCAATCTATCTTTTTTTTAGGCACCAAAATTTTTATTTACCCACCTTCCTGCTCTCTTTTAACATTATAAACATTAATTAAACATTATAAACCAAATTAATCTTTTTGATCCAGGGTTGTGATAGGAACCATCATGTTACAAAGAGGTGGTAGATCTATGCCTGCTTTTAATGATTCTCTGGCCTCTCTCAACCTATGGCTCTCACTCCTCTTATCCTTTTTTGGCTGTCCCTTAACAGTATATTCTAACCTCCGTAAAATAGAAATTGAAAGTACTAACCTCATTGTTCTGTGAAACCTCTTAAAAAAGAGAATGCCCAGCACTAAGGCGGGCTCTCAGGGGCATCAAACTCCCAAAAGTTCCTCCCTGTTCTTTGATATAATTCATTGTCATCTGTCATGGGCTGAGGAACCAGTGAACCAGTAAACTAAGAACAAGTGTACAAGGTCCACAGGCCAGGTGAGGGCCTAGATGGTAAAGTGCATGCACTTTGTCACCACCATTGCTGACTTCCAATCCAAGTAAGGACTGCCTGAGTGAGCAGTTCCAAAACCCCTGGGCTCATGGTTCCCTGTGGGTATCTCCTGTGTACTTTTATCATGACCAGGGCTTGAGAAGGGGCTTCTCAATTCCCTCTGCCACACTAACAACAGTGTGAGGGATGCACCAGAGGCCAAAGATGGAGTGACTAGCTCTGGGGAGTAAGTGGGGAACATTAACAAAACCATCTCAAATTTGGTGCCGTTTGCTCGTGGGGAAAAGAGGTGGAACCCCAGCAAGACCAGCAGTTATAAGGCAAACAATAGGCCTGGTTCTCAGTAGCGGTAATGATCAGGCTTGAAGGGGCCATCACAGGACAAGCCCAGGTACTGGGCCTGCTTCTCAGTTTGGTCAGCTTCACATTCAGGTTACCCAGGTGGGCTTCAGCTGCTGCATCATCCAGCTTCTTGGGCAGGAAGTGGACCCCAACAGAATACTTGTCAGGGTGGTTCCACAACTCTATCTGTGCCAGCACTTGGTTGGTGAATGAATTGCTCATCACAAAGCTGGGATGACCCATGGAGCAGCCCAGGTTGACCAGCCAGCCCTCAGCCAACAGGATGATATGACGCCCATTTTTCAGCCCATAGTGGTCCACCTGGGGCTTGATGTTCTCCTTCTCCACAGCATTTTCATTCAGCCACTTGACATCAATCTCCATGTCAAAGTGTCCAATGTTACAGACGATGGAGTCATCTTTCATCTGCTCAAAGTGCCTGTTGGGGAGTGCCGACCCATGGAAGACTGTCAGGGACAAAGAGCAGCCCCAAGCCTGCCTTCTTCCTCGCTCCCCGTGACCCCCAACCTGGCACCTACCGGCCAAGGATGATGTCAGTACAGCCTGCGGTGGTGACAAATATGTTGCCCTCCTGACAGGCCTCATCCATAGTGGTCACCTCATAGGCCTCCATGGCAGCCTGCAGTGCATTGATGGGGTCGATCTCCATGATAATGACACGGGCCCCAAAACCCCTCAGGGCCTGGGCACAACCTTTGCCCATATCGCCATAGCTTGCTACCACTGCCACCTTGCCTGCAATCATCACATCTGTAGCCCACTTGATGCCATCTATAAGAGACTCCTGGCAGCCATACAGGTTGTCAAACTTGCTCTTGGTGACAGAGTCATTGACATTGATGGCAGGCACCTTCAGCTTCCCATTGGCCATCATCTTGTATAGGTTGTGGACCCCCATTGTGGTCTCTTCAGAAATGCCTCGGATGCCTGACAGGAGCTGTGGGTACTTGGTGTGAATGAGGTTGGCAAGGTCACCTCCGTCATCCAGAATTATGTTGAGGGGCCCATCCTTGAACTACAGCATCTGCTTGATGTACCACAGGTACTCCTCGTCCATTTCACCCTTCCAGGCGTACACTGGAATGCCAGCCTTGGCAATGGCAGCAGCTGCATGGTCCTGGGTAGAGAAGATGTTGCAGCTGGACCACTCTACCTCTGCACTCAGGGTCACGAGGGTCTCAATGAGGACAGCTGTCTCCACAGTCATGTGTAGGCAGCCAGCGATGTGGGTGCTCTTCAGTGGCTTAGAGGCCAAGTACATCTCCCTCATGCACATCAGGCCTGGCATCTCATTCTCTGCAATGTCCAGGGCCTTGCATCCCCAGGAGGCCAGGCTGATGTCGGCAACTTTGTAGGGCAGTTTGTCCAACATGCTGGCAGAGTTTCCACACAGAGTGATGGACATGGGTGAAGGGAGCTGGCCCTGGGGCTAGAGACTGGCACAGGAAGGACGGCGCTGGGTGGGGCAACTCAATCTATCTTATAGCTAGCGAAAAATTCATCCCAGATTCTAACAAGAAAATATCTGTTAGGGTCCATTTCAATTTTGTTCTGAACTTTTCAGAAGCTGAGTTAAGTACTAGCCATTTCAACAGTAGATGTTTAAATTTCACAAAATGTTATTTCATATCCAGCTATTTTATTTATCTGTGTAGTCAATTATTCCATAAGTAATTGGAGAAACACATTCAATAATACAATTTTTAAATATCTACCATGAATGTGAATCAGCTCCTGGTTAAGTAAAAGTATAGGTTAAAAAAAAAAAACGAGACTAGGGCGCCTGGGTGGCTCAGTTGGTTAAGCGACCGCCTTCGGCTCAGGTCATGATCCTGGAGTCCTGGGATCGAGTCCCACATCAGGCTCCCTGCTCAGCGGGGAGTCTGCTTCTCCCTCTGACCCTCTCCCCTCTCATGCTCTCTCTCTATCTCATTCTCTCTCTCAAATAAATAAATAAAATCTTAAAAAAAAAAAACAAGACTATGTAATACAAACCAAAAAGAGTGACTAGATCAGTTACCTTTTATTTTTGTTGGTAATTTAATTTCCTCTAATTTAACCTCAAATTTTGCTCTGAGCTTCCCAACAGCCAAAGGAAAAATGGTAACATAGTCAGTTACATCATTCTCAAATGTCAAAGTATCCTGGTCCTTTAAAAGAATTCTCTTCATGGCACTAAATGTTAAATGAGTATATAGGGAATTCTGAGCACTGTAGGAAAATGTCTTCCTTGTACACATTTCTATAGGAAATACAATTGTAAGATCCTTGTAACTGTTTTTTTATGGTGTATTTTATACACACTGAAATAAATGAAGAACTATAATTAAAAGAAATTTGATAAAGATTCTATGAGGAGCCAAATAAAATGTTGCAAGTATGTGGCAGTCTTATGATTTAATTTGATCCTAAGACAAAGTTTTAAGTACCTTGATAAATGCTTAGACTGTAAATCCTTCAAATAATCTGTTTATTTCTTCACTCACGCTTTTGATAGTGTTTCATAGTCTTTCATTCAATTCTTTCAACAACCTGAGATAATGTTCTTATTCCCACTAAATTACATTTGAGGAAGTGGAAGCTCAGAGGAGTGAAATGCTTTGTTGAAGGTCAGCCAGTAAATGACTTGGAAGGAACTCAAAACACAGGTGTTCTGATTCCAGATTTACAAAATGCATTTGTTAAGTACCTGTTGTGTGCTAGGCAGTGCTCTTGGGGCTGGGGATAGATAGTTGAATAAAATACAATCCCTGTTCTCAGAGAGCTGGTGGGAAAAACAGATAAAGATGTCATTTTCTATAACTTAGCCAACACTCTGTGCTTTCACGATACTGGTGCAATACCAGTAGTTGTATAGTAGATAGTTTGGGAATATAAGATTATTGGATAAGAATAAACATTTCTGATGTCTCTTCCAGATCATGTTCTACATTATATGACATGATTTTAGATAAAAATGCTGCAAGTGTTGAGAGAAACACAGATAAAAAAAGACTGGAGAAATAATCGCTTCATGGAGTTGCTGAGCCTCTTTTGGAATAATCAGAAGGAAGAGGGAAAGATATTCCATTTATTCCCAGGATTATAATAACTATTCTTGGCTATACTGTGGAACAGCATTTGGTGACAAAATGTGGTTCTGATGAAGAAAGATTTCAAAAGCAGGTGGGAATATCTTGGCCCAAATATTTTGAATCCACGTTGGTGCTGGTGGTAATTTTACATAAAATGACAAAGTCATGGGTGCCCTACCCTGGAAATGGTTCAGTGGAAACTGGATGACTGTCTGCAAGAAAATCCAGGAAGCTGGACCTAGCATCAGTTGTTTTTACTCATGGTTTGTAAATAACAAAATCATTTCAAATCAAATTTCACATGAAACTGAATATAGGTACACCTTGAAGATACTGCAGGTTTGGTTCCAGACCATCATGATAAAGTAAGTCAAATGAATTTTTTGGTTTCCCAGTGCATATAAAGGTTATCTTTACACTATATGGTAGTTTATTAGTGTGCAACAGCATTACATCTAAAAAAACCAATGTGCATGCCTTAATTTAAAAATACTTTATTGCTAAAAATCACTAGCTATCATTTAAGTTTTCGGTGACTCATAATCTTTTGCTGGTGGAGGATCTTGCCTTGATGTTGATGGCTGCTGGCTGATTAGGATGGTGGTTGCTGAAGTTTGGGGGGTTGTAGCAATTTCTTAAAATAAGACAACAATGAAGTTTGCCACATCAATGGACTTTTCCTTTCATGAACAATTTTTCTGTAGCATGGGATGCTATTTGATAGCATTTTACCCACAGTAGGACTTCTTTCAAAATTGGAGTCAGTTCTCCCAAACCCTGTCATTGCTTTATCAATTAAGTTTATGTGATATTCCACATTCTTTGTTGTCATTTCAACAATCGTCCCAGCATTTTCACCAGGAATAGTTTCCATTTCAAGAAACCACCTCCTTTGCTCAACCATAAGAAGCAACCCCTCATCCATTAAAACTTTATCATGAGATTGCAGCAATTCAAGTATAATAATAATGGAAGAGTTTGAAATATTGAGGGAATTACAAAAATGTGACACAGAGACATGAAGTGAGCAAATGATTTTGGAAAAAATGGCACCGGTAGACTTGCTTGATGCAGGGTTGCCATAAAACTTTAATTTGTAAAAAAAAAAAAAAAAAATGCAGTATCTGCAAAGCACAATGAAATGAGGTATGCCTGTATATAAAACAGATCAAAGTGGAACAACTGTGGCTGACTAAATCCAGGGTGGGGTACAGGAGGCCCACCCACACTGTCTCTAGGACCTCCCCACTGACTATGCCTCCAGGTGATCAGTGAAGCATGATTTGAAAACGGGTCCCATCAATTCAAAGGGGCACTGTTCCTAGGACTTTACAAAGTAAGAGACACTGGTTGTTTTATCTCAGATGGCTACTGAAGAGCATGCTATTAGAAGCCTTTCGGGAAGTACTAATAATCTACATTTTTTGTTCTTTTCTAGTTGGTCACCTCAGTGGTCCAAGCGCGGACAAAGCAGACAGACTCTGAGAGCTAGGATTAAAAAGAAAATAAAAAACAGCTCACAGTAGTGACCCCTCCCAAGAAAAGACCCAGCAATCTTCCAGCTACAGTAGCAGTAATCACAAACCCCTACAGCATCTAATTGAAATATTGATTCTTCAGTTAGGTCTCTAACTTAAAATTCCAGAGCAGAGAGCTCCCCACCACACAGACACCCCCTTTGCAGAATCACATCACAGAGCACATAGTGTTTCCTTAACATTAAGCTTCCCAGGGCTTTCATTTCAATTAGTCGTAAAAAAAGATCAAGAAGGAAAGTATTGTCGGAAAGATTCCAGTCAGTGTTTTATTGCCTGAAACAGTTTTCAGGATTAACCATTTCATACCAGAAAGGGAATTCTGCAGAAAGTGCAGTGCTTTCTCCTTACAGAAAGGAAGCTATGGATAAAGCAAAGAGTACAAAATATACTTTCTTCTAACTGTTTCTTATTCAACGTGTTTTCATTAAACAATCTCATTTATGGAACTAAAAATTTTTCTGAACAAGCGCGCAATATATGCCAAAAAAATATCGCAAATCCAACTTTTGCTATCCTTATATTTCCATTTAGGTTCTCAGAGCAACAAAATCCCTTGACATTATTATCTCCTCCGAATACTAATTATGTCACCACAACTGTGTGTCTGCTAATCTTCCAGAAATAATGTGAGAATTACAGGGATGCCACAGGAATAGAATGGAATTAGAAATATATTTTGTGAATTTGTCAAAACTACCAGCTTTCTAAGAGGGTAAAGTGCACATCCAAAAAATTCTTTCATAAAAGGACAAATTCCCACAATGAAGATAAATGATGACTCTTAATACTACACTTGGAGCACAGAACACTAGCTAGAGCAAGGCCAGCATGCTGTGGTTTCTTTTATTCTTACAAGAAACTTAGTTCATGGTACCTAGGATTTTCATCTCAGAGCACCAGCTTCAACTCCAGATAAAGACCTGTTTTTAATCATGCTTAATGTGCCTGGTTCCCAAGAGAATAACAATGAAGGTGAAACCTCTCCGGTAGGGAGGAGAATATACTTGCTCTGGGAATGGGGATGTAATCCTTCCCTCTGAAGAAAAGAAAATGTTTATTATAGCACACTGTCTGCCACCTCTTCAGTCTCAAATAGTTCCTGAATGTATGAATGACAGTATCATCACACTCTGCTCATCCTGGGCTAAAAACAAGAGAATCATAAGCTGTTGTGTCTAAAGGTACTTTTACCATTAGCTCCTTCAGCCCTATTTTGCAGATGTACAAACCAAGGCCCAAAAAGTGATGGATTTATGAAAGGTGCATTCATGGTCACATAGGGCATAGGTATCTGAATTTATTCCCCAAATCTCTGATCAAGGCTCTTTCCTCTACTGCAGATGACAAAGTCCTACATTGTCTTCAAAATCAAGTCTTAAGGATGTCTCAGGGCATCTCCTTCCCACACCCTGGGCCACTGCAGGGTCCAGACACATATACCTCTTTCTGGACACCAGCTGCAGACTCTGTTGGTCTTGGGTATTCCAGTGTGGTCCACGCAGATGTCTCTACACTACTCTCAGCTCTTTCAGCCATGTTCAAGAGGCTTTCTTCTCCATCCCATCAGTGGCACCCACTTGACCTCTTTGCTATACAGCACTACTGAACTGCCCATATGTGAAGTTGTGCTTGCGCATACACACACACACTCACACTCGGTGTGCACACATGTGCACACACCCCATGCTGGTTCACCCATGTGTGACCTGAGTTTTGTGGTCTGCCTTGGCTGGGTTCTTCTTCCTATCCATCTGACTGGTTCCATTCCATGCCATTGTTACCTCCCACTTCAGCTCCCCTTTCTTCCACACTCCACACCAGGCTTGGGTTAGGAACCCCTACTCT